GGTTAATCTTTTTCACACTTAATGGTCACCTTTGAAACTCTTTGCTAGACACATAGGTAGAAGCTGCATACAGCATCTATTGATTTAACCAAAGACTTACTTTTCTGGATTTACCATTCCAGGTTGAACTGCAAATGTGATGTAAACATGAAGTTGTGTTCATGCATTTGAATGCTACCCTAGCTGATCCAAATCAGGGAAAGCTAAACTCATGTTCTCTGAAGGAATGGAAGAAAATTGGCTTGACTGATTTGAAAAAAAGGCAGTAAATTTCTTAACAAGAGCTTGGACACATACCCAGAAGTTTCAAGGCAAAACTTGGAGGAGAGTGGGGAGAAGGTCTAGGCCAAGACCCAAGAAAAGCAAGAGAGGGAAGAACTTCACACTCGCGAGAAAAAACATGGATTAGAAAGGATAGTGTGGAATTAGAAAAATTGGTAGTAGAAAAATCAACTTTTCTAACGCATGAAAAAATGGATTAGAAAAATCTGGGTGGAAAAACCAACCTAAAACTTGAAGAATGCCCATGTCCCATCTCCCTAGCCCCATCCATTGGAGAACTCAACACTTCAGACTTAAGGAAACTCTCCCTACCACCTCGACAATCCAGCAGTAACTGCAAGGACCACCTTTGTTCTTCCTAGAACCATAGGACAAATTTTCCTCAGGAACAACAGGCAACCACAGGGCTCTGCCAGAGGAAATGGTGCCTCAGCAGGCAGCCTTTGAACCCAGCTGTTGATGAGCCAAGGGGGAGCAGCCTCTGCCATACACCCCACAGTCCTGGAAGAGCTGAAGAGCTGGCAAGGACTGAAGTCTAGTGGAAGGCTTTTGTGAACCAAACCCACCACATGAGCAAGCCTGGCCTGAAGTAGCAGAGCAAAGTGTGGCCATGTGGCTCCCTCCCTCCTTCCTTCCCTCCCTCCCTGGGCACCACAGCTCACTGCCAAGGCACAGCCCTGTGGCTGCATCTCTCTGGAGAAGGGAATACTTTGCTGTGCCAAAGGGGCCCTGGGAGCTCCTTTCTGATGTGTGCCCTGGCACAATACAATAAAACCCCACCCTGAGATAGGGAAAAAACCAATCATCATTCAGATTTGTACCTGCTGGGAGAGCAAAAAGTGCTGCAGGAGGAAGAGGCAACACTGGGAATTCAGAAAACACTGCTGGGAATGAGGTAGAAACAGCAACATATCTCTTGAAGGTTAAATCAAGGCAAAACAAGCCACAAAGAGATAAGACATTGTGACAGGACAAAGCAAGAGGGCAGTGGGGCCCAAAGTTTGAGAACACCCCAGGCTGCTGGGGAGATGGAAGCCAGAGCAGTGCCTGGAGATAACCATGGGGCAGGGACAGTTTGTGCTAGACCTTAAAAAGAGTTAATTTTGGGCAGCTATTTGCAGATCTGGATTTATTCCCATTACCACATTTCCAGACAAGTGAAGTTATAGTACCTTTTCACTGATCATCCGGAAAGACTCCACTAACTCTCCCGTGAAACTGGATCCCAAGTCCTGAGCTGCCCGAGGCAGTCCTGGTGCTCAGCTAACACAGCAGAACACTTAGGAGACTACCTGAAAGAGTTTACTCTCACCCAGGCACAGCTCTGTAGCACAGTCCCAAGTAATAAACTTATGTGATGTTTCCACATGACCACATTCCTCCTGGTCCCACATTCCTCTCCAGACACACTCCACAGGACTCACATTCTCCCAGTGCATTGCTTGCTATGACACATTGCAGGCATCTGCTCCCCAGGGAGGATTTACCCCTGCCAGCACTTAGCTTGACTGTTCCCACAGCTGCCAGGCACCCGCTGTCCTGTGGCACACTAACTGCTGAACAGACAACCTGCATGCCCTGGGGCAAGCAAGTTCAACTGGTGGTGTGCTTGTTCTGGTAACCCAAGAGATAAGGGACAGACAGTCATCCAAAGCAGCATGGCCAGCAGGTTGAGCGAGCAGATTCAGCCTCTCCACTCTGCTCTGGTGAGACCCCAGCTGGAGTGTTGCATCCAGCTCTGGTGCCTTCAACACAAGAAAAACATGGAACTGTTGAAGCAAGTCCTGAGGAAGGTCACAAAGTTGATTAGGGGGCTGGGGCACCTCCCCTGTGAAGACAGGCTGAGAAAGCTGCAGTTGTTCAATCTGGAGAAGAAGCTGTGTGGACACCTCCTAGCAGTCTTATAATATCTGATGGGGGCCTATAGAGAAGGTAGAGAGAGACTCTTCATCAGGAACTGTAGTGACAGAACAAGGAGTAATGAGTTCAAACTGAGAGGAAATTTAGGTTATATATATACAGAAGAAATTTTTATTGTGTGTGGTGAGGCACTGGAGCAGAGAATTTGTGTATGCTCATATATGAAGAAATTTTTTATTGTGTGTGGTGAAGCACTGGAGCAGAGAATTTGTGTATGCTCCATCCCTGAAAGTGTTCAAGGCCAGGCTGGATGGGGCTTTGACCAACCTGGTCTAGGGAAAGGTGTCCCCTGCCCATGGCAGGAGGCTGAAACTAGTTATCTTTAAGGTGTTTTCCAACCCAGGCCATCTATGATTTTGATTAATCCCACTGAAAGCAGACAACTTACCTAAGCTAGCCTGTATGAGCTACAGGAAATACAAAATCTTTAGCAACATAAGCAGCAGAACTCTACATGTGTAACAGTATGACCACAATACCATTACCATTCCTTAACAAGAGATACTGTGTACCTCTCTTTCTCCATCCTCAGGAGTACCTTCAACAACTGGATCTGATCTTACTGCAAGCCCAGGACCTGTTTTCATTCCAGACAGTCCACCACGAGGCAATTCATTCCATGGTGGTACTCCTCTCCTGCACCCCTGTGAGGCAGAACCCATCACTCTAACAACCCCTGCCTTGCCTTTTCTCCTGCATTTCATCCCTCCAGCAAAGCAGCCCTGGAAAAAGGCAGTAGGGAATGTTCAGACCAAGACACCACAGTAGGACAAAATACAGGAACTGTGTGAGCTCCAACACACCGTGCTCAAAGCAGCTGTGTCAGGTGATAGCACACACAGCAGCAGAGTTTGAAACACTTCACCTGCTCACGGCTCGGACCAGCAGCCACCTCTGGGCGGCGCTGGTGAGTCCAGCACAACCATTCCTGTTTCCTAGTGCCACCTGCTGGTGCTTTCCCTATTTACACCAGGTACCTGGGGAAAAGGAGCTGTGGGAGCATCCTCTGCTTCTCTGGTGGAGGCTGCAAATTTAAGATGGACCAGATAGCAGCAATTTTCTTTTAAAAATCTTAATAACAGGTCTATATTTAGCTTCATGATGTGGCAGAGGAATCCTGTCTTTCTGTGAAATTAAGTTCAACAAGTTACCAGGTCCCACTGGCTATGATTTAGGAAGCTGCTACTCCACTACACAAAAAATGATAGGGTTTATTTGAATTTACTTAACTTTCCAATATGGCAAAAGTTAGAGAATGTACCAAGACAACTCACAGTAACTCCATTTATAACCTTCTCCTAGAAAAGGAAAAAGCTGTCAGTCTGTTCTCCATGATTCTCCAGCACAAAGGTGACTTCAGGTCAAAGTTATTGGAATCTGGAGGCACAAGCTCTGCTACAGTGACCATAAACAGCTCCTGCCATTTGGATTTAGGGAAAACTACTCCAGTAAAGACACAGTACCTGAGAGCAAAACTACTGCTTTACACAAACATCAAAGATTATTCTTAAAATTAGTTACAGATAACAGCACGTTACTATCAGGAACTGGCTGAGGTCTGCTTAAGCCTTCTGCACAAGCAACTGCTCCACATGACCTACAATGAACTACCCTCTGGTTTTTTTCCCCTCCCTCCCTTCTGCAGTTTCTAAACTTCGAGTTCTTCCTGCAGAACAGAGGCACAGCCCCACATGAAGGGACTTGGGAGTGCTGGTGGACAGACAGCTCAATATGCACAGGTGGCCAAGGCCAAAGGCATCTTGGCCTGGATCAAGAACAGTGTAGCAGGACTAGGGCAGTGATCATCCCCCTGTACTCAGCACTGCTGTACTCAGGTGAGGTCACACCTTGAGTGCTGTGTTCAGTTTTGGGCCCCTTACTTCTAAAACGACATTGAGGCACTGGAGTAAATCCAGCCAAGAGCAATGAGGACCGGAAACACGTCCTGTGAGGAAGGGCTGAGGGAATTGGGTTTCTTAAGTCTTGAGAAGAGGCTCAGGGGTGACCTCATGGCGCTCTCCAACTACCTGACAGGGCTTGTAGAGAGGTGTGGGATGGTCTCTAAAACGACATTGAGGCACTGGAGTAAATCCAGCCAAGAGCAATGAGGACCGGAAACACGTCCTGTGAGGAAGGGCTGAGGGAATTGGGTTTCTTAAGTCTTGAGAAGAGGCTCAGGGGTGACCTCATGGCGCTCTCCAACTACCTGACAGGGCTTGTAGAGAGGTGTGGGATGGTCTCTCCTGCCATGGCTGCAGGGAGAGGACTAGAGGGAATGGCCATGAGCTGAGACAGGGGAGATTCGGATTAGATGTCAGGAAAAATGTTTTTCCTGTTAGGGTGTTCAGGCACTGAAACAGGTTGCCCAGGGAGGTGGTGAAGTCACCATCACTGGAAGTGTGTAAGAGGCATCTAGATCTGGTGCTGAAGGAAATGGTTCAGAGGTTACAGCAGAGTGGCAGGTTAATGGCTGGACTTGATCTTATAAGTCTCCTCCAACCTTGATGGTTCCATGGTTCTATGAATAAAATGCATTTGCAGTGAATGACTAGGTCACTTCACTAATTTGATGCTATCAGATTAAAAAAACCCAAAACCCCAAAGCAGTTTAAGCACAGACACCAACTGTCCAGGTGATCTGGCACTGCAACAACCACCACCCGGACTGGATACTGCAGGACAGCAACATGGAAACCATGGCCACACATCTGCTCCACCCAGAAAACTTAACATTTGCATGCAGCTTCCTAAAACAAGCAAAAGCTTCTAAGACATCAACCACTTAGAGCCAACACAAATTCAGGTAACCAAAATTTATTCTTTCAGTACGTCACTGCCAGCTTTTATGCGACCAGGGCAGAAGCTGTTGATGATTCACTATAAAGAGAGAAGAAAAGAGGAAATATTAGTGGCAGAGGCAGTTTTTTTAAACCAGTTGTCAAAAATACACCTTCAGCTCAAAGCTTTAACTATCAGCCCTGAGCTAAATCACCTCCTGTCCTCAATTTTTTTATGGCATGAAATTTCACTTTTTTTTTTACAATACAAACCCTGGGATAAAGGCACAAATCTGTATAATCCACAACCTGCCTAGCTGCACTTGTGTCTTCTTAGACAAAACAAGTCTAATCCTAACATGTATGGGAATTCTTCTATGGTGGCTAATTTTCCTAGAGAAAAACTATAAGTTACTTTCCTGTTTGCCACAGCAACTATTTCTCTATAAACTCTGAAAGTAATGAACAAAGACTGCAGTTTATAAAGCCTTATGAAAACTGCCCAGTAGTGACTTCATTTGTTGGGGCAATGATTTTGATCCAAGTGTTCTTCTAACAGTCATTTTACCCAGCACTAAGTTTCATTAATTTATCAGCTGGTACTTACGGGAATACCTAATCTTTTCTGCCTGGGTTACCTACATACCTGATCTTCACACACACTTCACCCTTTCAGTAACAGCCCCAGCACAGTTTACAAAACCCCCAAGACTTCAGTGGCAGTAGGAATGCAAGAGAAGACTTACTACTTCCAGTTGGGTGGCAGCACTCTCTTAGTCTTGTAGTAGCGAGCCAACCTGTGGATTCTGCTCTCGATCAGAATCAGGCGGAACTTGGCATCTTTATCCTGGAAAAGAAAATTGTATCACAACTAAGCACTGCTTTGACTTCTCTATCTTGTACAATTCAGATGTCCTTCAATAAAGTAAAAAAAACTCCACAGCTCTGCTGCAAACTCCACATTCCCATTCCCAGAGCTTGGTGAATCCAGTAAATTCAGAACAGGACCAGAAACACACGGTTCAAACATTGCTTTTAAAACACTTCTCACAGACCAAGACCATTCTCCTTGATGAAAATGCCTCCCCAGTCCCCCAAGTTTACTCAAAGGGGGCTAAAAGGAAACATACAGACTCATTTGTCTTTCAAGGTGTTCATAAACTACTGCATCATTTGGAAACACACAGTTACCTAAGGAAATGAGCACTCACCTTTCTATTTCTCTCAAGATGTTTGCGAACAGCAACAGCTTTCTTGATCAAGTGATACAGATCCTCTGGGAGGTCTGGGGCCAGTCCTTTTGATTTAAGGATCCTCAGAATCTTGTTCCCAGTAACAAAGCGAACCTGGGCAACACCATGGGAATCCCTCAGGATCACACCTGAAACAAACATTGACATCTTACACTGAAAAGAAAAACCATATGCCAACAAGCCTCATGAAACCAACCTTACAGTGACAAGCTATCCAAAAATGGTCTTAACTTTACAGTGACAAGCTATCCAAAAAAAGGTCTTATCCAAGTTAAAAACCTTTCTGGGCACCAAAGGAAATAGCAATGAGTGTGCAAAACACAATTTGCAAAAGCTGAAACACTGTACCTGGTATCACACCCCTCATCACCCTTAGGCAGGTAACAGATGAAGTGCTACCACTTCCTTTTGGGAAATTTTCAACAGAATTCATTAAAGCTATGTATTCCATCACACTGTAATATGCCTCTGAGAGGGATTATTGTTACTTTCAGGATTACAATAGAATTCATTCACACAGCATGTAACTGCACTGCATACATAGCTCATGACCACATAAAGCTGTGTCATGCAAACACTTCAGCTCTAGAAAGGTCCAAACCACCGAGAACTAGTCAATTATGCAGCTGCAGTGCCTGGCTCAGTAAACACCAAGCACAGGGCTGCCCATAGCTGAAAAATTCCTAGGAAACTGGGCAGACTAAACTTTCCTCTAACACCTGTTGGTGGCTATTCCTAAGGGCAGGTTATAAGATTAAACAGATGCTTCAAGTCTCCCACTTGAAAAAAAGAACTCTCAAAAAATGAACACTCACTACCTCACTAAATATGCTTAATGCAGGAATGAGACACATAAGGGTACATCGAGTCCTGGCCCCAGACTTGGTCCTTGTAAGGATATTGTTCTATGACTCTTAGTGGTATCCACAGTGAACATACAGGCACACCAGGAAAGTTGTGTTTTCTTAGCATGCCATTTAATAAGAGCTGAAGAAACTATTACATTACACCAAACAAAGTGCTTTGTGCCCACTCAGGAGTGATCCATAATCCTTACCAATCTGGGAAGGAGTCAGACCCTTTTTAGCCAACTTGTAGATCTGTTCCTTTACATCATCAGAAGTAAGTTTCAGCCACTAGGGAGAAAAAAAACATCACCAAAAAACAATGAACACTGAGGCATGGGTGACATGAAAGCTTTTTCCACACAGAAGAAACACATGCTCTGTAATGCCTGCAAGAACAATCAAGAACTGAAGTTGGACTTCTAATGATCAACTTTTTTACATATGATGAGCCAATAGTACCAGTGAAACATGGTGGGGGAAGGCAGAAAGTCTGTGTTTAGAACACCTCCTAAAGCCTCCAACCAGCAGCTTTAACACCAGTTTACTTCAACTGTCACATAGGAAGCATGGACACTAATTTAGACCAAAAAAATCACTGCCATTGGGAAGAAATTTGTTAACCAGGCCTTTTGGCAGAAATAGGGAACTGAGATCCATTTAGCCACCTCTTAGTAAAACAACTAGAGGCATTAATGAAAAATCTGACTTTAAGTACACAAATTAGTTCAAAAGTGAAACAAATGGATCTGGAGACAGGACTATGCCTTTCCTATTATTTCTATGTTAAACTGTGCTGATGAAATCCTTGCTTCCATGATTACTAACAGGAAGACAACACCAACAAGTTAGGTGATCCTCAATCCCAAACCAAGCTACCAAAGCACATACATTCTTTTTGTCTTAACACTGTCACAGTATGAAATAGAAAAGCACAGCCAAAATTAATTTGGAAGCGCTCTAAATATTACAATTTAAAACAAAGTATGAGTAAATCTAAGCAACAAAAAACCCCAGAGGATTTTTTAAACAAATATAGCAGCTGGTCATCCTAATTATTACTGTTTGACCACCAGCAGTACTTCATGCAGCTTTGTATTATCTTAATTTAAATTGTATCTACTTATTTTCCTATTTTGTGCGTTGTGTTCTCATTTAACCCTTTTTCAGTCCACGCTTTTCCACAAATTGATCCTTCTGCCAACAAACAGATCCTCCAAGAAATAGTCTGGCAAGGAAAGGTCCTTTGAAGTGGAAGTACCCAAAGAGAACTAAGGGCACACTGAAAGTAGTTAATTTAGTCTCTTAAATTAGTTGTAAGTATTTTCAGAAAGCAATTGGTATATTCCACGACAGCAAAAGTCAAACTCGTGTGTGCAGAAACCAATTTCATCTCCGGGAATTATCACCTTATAGACTAGAAATAATTGAAGCAGCACTTGAATATAAAGAGATATAAATGAGCTGAAAGGACTTCTTTGCCCGAAGAATCCTCTGGCCTAGAAAGGGTAGCTGCTTCCTCACTATCTTAAGTAGCATTTTACCAGGCTGTAATTTAGAATCGACGCCACGAAGCATTGCAGCTCCCGTTCGTGTCGC